AGCCAGGTGGGCGGCGCAGCTAGATCTCCTCGTGCAGGCTGCCCTGCAGGAACGCTGTGCAGAAGTCCAGAGAGTGCAGCTCGTAGTCAAGCTGAGCAGCGATGTGCAGCAACACCCGAAGAGTAGTCATCTTCAGGGTGGGGGAGAATGTCTGGAAGTAGTCAACCCCCTGTCGCTGACTGAAGCCTCGAGCAACGTAACGTGCCTTGAAGGCAGGCGGAGAACCCGGCGTCCGCTTCACCCTGAAAATCCACATGCCATCGACTATGTTCGCCCCAGGTGGGGGAACCTCGTCGACGTAGGTGCCTGTGGACTTCCAGGATGCCATCTCGGCACCCCTTGCTGCCTGCCATTGAGAGGATTAAGGACCCGTAATCGCCTCTGCGTAAGAGCGCAGGGTCAGGATGCCTGGAGCATCCAGGTCTCTTTCAGGGGCAAGCAGCATGGAAGCGAAACGAGGTACAGGAGCTGCAAGACACTCAAAGTCCTCCTGCCTGTCCTCAAGGACGTCCGTGCCAAGAGCACACTCACCCCTGATGGACAAAGGACTGGCAGACACAGACTCAGCAACAAGAGCAGTGGCGTAGTCTGGACGGCAGGCTGCAGCAAAGTCAAGCAGCTCAGCACTGAGAGCAGACGCAGCAGCAGACTCAAAAGAAGGGTCAGTGACAGCCGTGGCGAAGAGACGAGAGACAGTGGGACTGGCTGCACGAGTGCGGTCAGACTTAGGGTCAGGGACCTCAGGAAGAGAGGACTCTAGAGGAGCAGGCAGAGGAACACACAGTGGAACAGAGGAAGGATGAAGAGTCATAGCGTGCGTGCCGAGGACAGGAGGAGGACGCGAACGAGGAACGCGCCGAGCAGTGCGAACAGGCGAGACAGGACGAGACGCAGGCTCACGACGCTTTGTAAGACCGCCGACCTGCTCAGTGTAAGGAGAGGGAGCAAGTAGTGGGGAGGCTGGCTGTAACGACGGCTGCGACTGGTCAGGCGGTGGACACAGTAAGGGAGGAGTCAGGCCAGTAGAAGACGGGGTACCAAGAACCTGCTGAAGCAGGGGATCGAAGTACGGTCACGGCCGCACAGTGCCACTAGGGTCAACAGCTCCAGCTCCTGCACCTCCAGCGCCTCCCGTGCCAGTGCATCCAACTCCAGCTCGTCCTGCTCCAGCGCCACCAGCACCAGTAGCTCTAGACTCTGTAGGGTCTCCAGCTCCGGCACTCTCAGCACCACCAATCCCGGCAGCTCCAGTACCCCGGGTACGAGCACCTCCAGGACCAGTGGCCGCAGTACCTCTAGTAACACCAGCTCCAGCAGCAACTCCAGCACCTCCAGCTCCAGCACCTCCAGCACCTCCAGCTCTGGTAGCTCCACGCCGAAGGCGTGCGCGCCCAACAAACCACTCACGCAGCTGCTGCGGAGACAGTCTCGGCGAAGCACCAGCAGAACCTCTAGACGAAGCAGTACCCTGAGGCTCAGCACCTCCAGACTCCGGACCCTCCAACGCAGCACCCCCAGGCTCAACACCCTCAGGCTTAGCACCCCCAGGCTCAACACCCCTAGTCTGAACACCCCCAGGCTCAGCACCCCCAGTCTCAGCACCCTAAGACTCCGCACCCCCATGCTCCGCACCCCGAGACGCAGCACCCCCAGACACAGCACCTCGAGGAGCACCTGGGCCGATAGCTACCTGAACAGGCGCAGGACCACGGAGAGGGTCTACCTGAGACACACCTGCGGGAGCAGGACCCTGGGGTGGGAGGGGGTCTACTGGAGGGGGACAGGGAGCAAGGAAGAGCAGCGGGGGCGGGGGAGGGGCAGAGCGGTAGGGGAAGAGACAGTAAAAGGGAACCGACTCGTCAAACATGACATCCTGGGAAGGGAAGACACGGCGCGAGGTGGGGTGGTAAAACTGCCAGCCAGGTGCGTCGGGGACAAAGCCAAGGAAGACGCGGGGGATAGAACGGGGGGAGAGCTTGTCCGCAGACATATCGTGAACAAAGGCACGAGATCCCCATACCTGGAACACCGACGCATCGCCAACCTCCCCCGTCCAACGCAGTGTGGGCGAGGTCTCCGGCAAGGAGACACGGGGCCAGAGGTTGAGATGATGCACAACGTACTGGACCGCAAACGGCCACAGAAAATGGGGAGCAGCCGCATGGATCATGGAGGTACGAGCGACCTCCATGACTAAGCCAATGCGGCGCTCAGCAATCCCATTTTGCTGAGGAGAGGCCTGGGGGCCGAGGGGCCTAGGGGCCGAGGGGCCTGGGTCACGGGTCACGGTGCGTGGTGGGGGGGGGGGGGGGGGGGGCGCGATGGGCCTAGGAGAGCAAAGGGCCGGGACCGAGGCCTAGGGGCGCACCGGGCCTAGGGGTGCGAAGGGCCTAGGGGCGCGACAGGGCCGAGGGGCGCGACGGGCCTAGGAAACGGGTCCGTGGGGGGGGGCGCGACGGGCCTAAGGAACGGGGCCGTGGGGCGCGACGGGCTCAGGGGCGCGACGGGGCCGAGGGGCGCGACGGGGCCGAGGGGCGTGAGTGGCCTAGGAAACGTGGCCGTTGGGGGTGCGACGGGGACGAGGAGCGCAACGGGCCTAGGAACAGGGCCGTGGGGGCGCGACGGGCCTAAGGGGCGCGACGGGGCCGAGGGGCGCGACGGGGCCGAGGGGCGCGACTGGCCTAGGAAACGGGGCCGTGGTGGGCGCGACGGGGCCGAGGGGCGCGACGGGACCGATGAACGGGGCCGTGGGGGCGCGACGGGCCTAAGGGGCGCGACGGGCTAGGAATCGGGGTCGTGGGGGCGCGACGGGCCTAGGAAACAGGGCCGTGGGGCGCGACGGGCCTAGGGGCGCGACGGGGCCTAGGGGCGCGACGGAGCCGAGGGGCGCGACGGGCTAGGGAACGGGGCCGTGGGGGGCGCGACAGGCCTAAGGGGCGCGACGGGCCCAGGGGTGCGACGGGCCAAGGGGGCGGGTCCTAGGGGCTACTCGCAGGGCAGCAAGTGGTGGGCCCAAGGCAAAAAAAAACGGTCCTAGCGAGGGACCTGCTCTGATACCATGTTGAAAGTAATGAACGAGAATGAATGAACTATGAAACAGTTGGGTACAAGTACTAACCCTAATTGGGTTGTACCCCTTATGGGCTACCCCACTATAGCCTACACAATTGTAAGCACTATAACATTCTGACACTTTTGAGACGTCTCTAAATTCCTTCCATGAGTCTCACATACATCTCCCCCTAACCCAAGCGTGCAAGCATAGCGTGATTGACCGTCGTCACGAGGAGGTTACTTTTGAGACATCTCAAAAGTCCTTCCATGAGTCACACATACATCTCCCCCTAACCCAAGCGTGCAAGCATATCGTGATTGACCGTTGGCACGAGGTTACTTTTGAGACGTCTCAAAAGTCATTCCATGAGTCACACATACATCTCCCCCTAACCCAAGCGTGCAAGCATAGCGTGATTGACCGTCATCACGAGGAGGTTACTTTTGAGACTCAAAATTCCTTCCATGAGTCACACATACATCTGCCCCTAACCCAAGCGTGCAAGCATAGCGTGATTGACCGTCATCACGAGGAGGTTACTTTTGAGACATCTCAAAAGTCCTTCCATGAGTCACACATACATCTCCCCCTAACCCAAGCGTGCAAGCATATCGTGATTGACCGTCACAAGGAGGAGGTTACTACTGTACTCTGTGAGCGTCTCTTGCAATTCACATGTTACCCCTTCCACGAGTCACATATACAGCTGCCCAATCGTGCTCTTCTCTCGGTCCCACACTGCTCACTCGTTACCCTCCCTCTCTTCCTCATCCTTTCCCCTTCCATCCAATCTCTTTCAACCCCTTGTCTCCCTTGCAGCTAATCCTCCTCCCTCTCCTCCTCCTCCTAGCCCACCCCTTCCTCCTCCTCCGTCTCCTCCTCCCTCTCCTCCTCCTCCTCCCTCTCTTCCTCCTCCCTCCTCTTCTCCACCTCCCCCACTCCTCTCGCCACCACCACCGTCACCTCCAGCCCCATCACCACCCCCACCACCCCCTTCCCCACCACCTTTCACAGGTATGTATGATATGATTTGATATGATATGATATGATATGATATGATATGATATGATATGATATGATATGATATGATATGATCTGAGAGAATGTGGGCACACAACATGGTTTTATTAGAATTCTTGGGTATTTATGAATGAATGCATGAGAGCAATAGACCAGCCATGGATAGGTATGTGTGCACAACCAGAGACAGTTCTCAAAACTCACCACGCTTAGCTGTTTTTCCTCCCCCCCTCCCCCCCCCCCCCCACACACACCCCCATGCCTTCATGCATTCTCCTCCTTCCTCATGATCCATCCATTATCCATTATGCCTTCATCCGTTATCCTCCAAACTCCTTATTTCCACACCTGACATCGCTCGCGTGTAATGAGTCGTGTTTTGAGTCGGCTCAAAACACGACCTTCCTCATGATCCATCCATTATCCTCCAAACTCCTTCCACACCTGCCATCGTTCCCTCTTCACCTCATCCATTATCCTCCTTCCTCGTTATCCAACCATCCATTATCCACACCACACCTGCCATCGTTCCCTCTTCACTTCATCCCACCCAACATCTCTCCCCTTCTCGTATGTTTTCTCCCCCATATTCTCTCATTTCCCCCACTATATTCCCCCTCTTCACTTCACCACCCCCCCACCCCCACCCCCATCTCTTTCACAGCACAAGTGCCATCTCTGGCATCTCTTCCACCACCTCCGTCCTCTCGTCCTCCTCGCCCTTCACTTCATTGCATCCAATATTTCTCCTCTTCGTGTCTGTTTTCTTCCCTATCTTCTCTCCTTCCACCCCCCCCCCCTCCCCCCTCCCCCCCATTCCCATCTCTTTCACCCCCTCCTTCCTCTCTTCCTTTCTGTTTTTCAAGCACCTATTACCACCACCACCAGCTATCGCACCCATACATATATATTCCCCTTCTGTTTTCTATACTCCCTTCTTTCTCCCCCATTCCCATCTGTTTCGCATGACAAGAGCCAGCTCTGGCACCTCTTCCACCAACTCTTCCCTCTCTTCCTCCCTCTCCCCCTCCCTCACCTCCTCCCTCACCTCCTCCCTACCCCCCTCCCTCTCCTCCGTTACCCCCTCCGCGCCCTCCTCCTCCCAACCCTCCTCCCCCTCCCCGGCCCCCTAGCTTCATCTCCCGCCGCTCACCAGCTCCCCCTCCCCCACCCAGACCTCGTAAGTTCCCAACAGCTCATTCCAGGTTGTATGACAGTTGGGTAATTTCCCTGCTCATGTGGTTTGTCGGGTAACTTCAGGTAAATTACCTGGGTTTTTTTCAGGATTCGATCGTAATCCCTCTGAGTTGAAAATGGTTTTTTTTTCCTTCTTTTCTTTTATTTTCTGGTGTACAAATAATGCTATAATTGTGGTGTTTAATTTCCACCCTATTTTTCCATTCCCTCTTCCCTTTTCCCTCCTATACAGCGATCCCACCACCACCATCCCCACCACCATCGCCACCACCACCATCACCACCACCACTCTCCCCACCACCGCCATCCCCACCACCACCCTCACCGCCACCATCCCCACCACCACCACCATCCCCACCACCATCCCCACCACCACCCTCCCCACCACCATCCCCACCACCACCCTCCCCACCACCACCATCTCCACCACCACCCTCCCCACCACCACCATCCCCACCACCATCCCCACCACCACCCTCCCCACCACCACCCTCCCCACCACCACCATCCCCATCACCACCATCGCCACCACCACCCTCCCCACCACCACCATCCCCACCACCACCATCCCCACCATCACCATCCCCACCACCACCATCGCCACCACCATCCCCACCACCATCCCCACCACCACCATCCCCACCACTACCGGACATCTAATCTCCTCCTAGTCCTTCAAGTCCTGGCGTTTCACCGCTGCCAGCAGCAGCAACACCAACAGCACCAGCAGCAGCAGCAGCCCTCCAACTGCAGCAGCAGCACCACCAGCAGCAGCAGCAGCACCAGCAGCAGCAGCACCACCACCACCACCAGCAGCACCAGCAGCAGCACCACCACCACCAGCAGCAGCACCAGCAGCAGCACCAGCACCATCAGCCAGTGCTTTGTTTAAGGATAAGGCAAACCCAGCACAGTCACCATCCTAAACCCGAACCTCAAACCCTAACCCTTGTAAATTCTGATCCCTAAACGAAACCTTAATCCTTATACCCTTAATCTTAACCCCTGATTTTTCAACTCCCCAACCCTTCAACCCGAATTCCTAAACCCTTGAAACCTAATTCCTAAACCCTTTACCCTAATCTGAACCCTTGACCCTAAATCCAAAACCTAAGACCCTAAACCTTATTAGCAACTCCTACACAACCACCATCATTGTCGCCATCACCATCACCATCACCATCACCATCATCACCACCATCGCCATCAACACTAGCAGCATCAGGCCCCACGATATCAGGGAAAAACATCTTGATTACCCTGAATTCAGGATGCATATTTGAATTTGCCCTGTAATTTCAGAATACTGCCACTTTTAACCCTGAGCTCTCAGGATGTTATTATATGAAATGCCCTGGAAAATTAGGATGGCTGTGGTGTTCTTCCTGTCAGAACATCATAGCTTATACATTTGTGTAGGCTGTCGTGGGGTAGCCCACAAGGGGTACAACCCAATTAGGGTTAGTACTTGTACCCAACTGTTTCATAGTTCATTCATTCTCATTCGTTATTTTCACATGGAATCAGAGCAGGTTCCTTGGGCCCCCCACCTGCTACGCTGCGAGTAACCCCCCCTAGGCCCGTCACTCCTAGCCATCCCGGCCCGTCGGCCCCTAGCCCCGCGCCCGGCCCGTACCTAGCCCGCGCCCGGCCCCGTCTCACGCCTGCGCCCAGCCTGTACCTAGCCCGCGACCGGCCCGTACCTAGCCCGCGACCGGCCCGTACCTAGCCCGCACCCGGCCCGTAACTCGCCCGCGCCCGGCCCGTACCTAGCCCGCGAACGGCCCGTACCTAGGCCGCGACCGGCCCGTACCTAGCCCGCGACCGGCCCGTACCTAGCCCGCGCCTGGCCCGTACCTAGCCCGCTCCCGGCCCCATCTCACGCCCGCGCCCGGCCTGTACCTAGCCCGCGACCGGCCCGTACCTAGCCCACGACTGGCCCATACCTAGCCCGCGTCCGGCCCCGTCTCTCGCCCGCGCCAGGCCCCGTACCTAGCCCGCACCTGGCCCGTACCTAGCCCGCGCTCGGCCCGTCCCTCGCCCAGTGCTTGGCCCCATCCCTCGCCCAGCGCCAGGCCCCGTACCTAGCCAGCGCCCGGCCCGGTCCCTAGCACCGCCCGGCCCCGTACCTAGCCCAGCGCCCGGCCCCGACCCTAGCCTGCGCCCGGCCCCGCCCAGCACTCGGCCCCGTCCCTCGCCCAGCGCCCGGCCCCGTACCTAGCCCGTGCCCGGCCCGGTCCCTAGCCCTACCCGGCCCCGTACCTAGCCCAGCGCCCGGCCCCGACCCTAGCCCGCGCCCGGCCCTGCCCCTCGCCCAGCGCCCGGCCCCGTCCCTCGCCCAGCGTCCGACCCCGTACCTAGCCCGCGCCCAGCCTGGTCCCTAGCCCCGCCCGGCCCCGTACCTAGCCCAGCGCCCGGCCCCGTACCTAGCCCAAAGCCCGGCCCGGTCCCTAGCCACGCCCGGCCCCGTACCTAGCCCAACGCCTGGCCCTGTACCTAGCCTGCACCCGGCCCCGTACCTTGCCCGCTACTGCTACAGCTACTGCTACGGCCCTGTACTGTCACTGCTGCTACTACCACAGCTGCTACTGCTGCTGCTACTGCTATCCTGCGTACTGCACAGCTATGGCTTCGCTTCGGGTTCTCGCGTTTGATCACGAGGGCAGACCAGTTCAGTTTGACACGTGGCTAGACGACCTGCAGCTGTACCTACTGAGCGATTCTAATGACAGTGTCTCACTGTTTGACCTAGCGTCAGGCGCCACTACTGCCCCTCCCGCTACAGCTGACAGTTCGACTCGCTCACAGTGGCTTACTCGTGACGCTGCTGCCCGCTTAGCCATTCGCAACCACCTGCCATTAGCTGAATGCGCTCACTTCGGACAGCACAGGACAGCGCAGGCACTGTACGACGCTGTAGTCGCTCGTTACTCCTCCCCTGCCACTTCTGCTCTATGCCGCCTTCTTCTGCCCTACCTGTTCCCCGAGCTGTCCGCCTTTACCACAGTCGAAGACCTGGTTTCCCACCTTCGCGCTAGTGACGCTCGCTACGACGCTGCCGTTCCTATTGAGTTCCTTGACAGGAACCCGCCCCCGATGTTCATCACTCTCTACTTTATAGTCACCCGCCTCCCTGAATCTCTTCGCTCTGTCAGGGACCACTTCCTCTCTCTTGACCCCACCTCCCTCACTGTTGACCTCCTCGAGCAGCATCTAATCGCAGCTAAGACTAGCGCAGTTGCTGTAGGTGCTGCTCGTGGCACTCCGCGTCCGCCCTTCTTTGAGGGGTGTTCCCCCTCCCCCCTTGCCCCCTCCTATACCTCTGCTGCTGCTGCAGACGTCTCTGTTGCTGGGGACGTCGGGGCTGCTTCTGCTAGTGCGAAGCGCCGCAGCAGCAAGGGCAAGGGTGGCCGGGGTGGTGGAGGTGGCAGCAGTGGTGGTGGAGGTGGCAGCGGGAGTGGTGGTGGGGGCAGCAGTGGAGGTGGTGGCGGCGGAGCGACTGTTGGCGGGAGTGGGGGCTCTGGTGGCGGTGGTGAAGGCAGCGGTGGGAGTGGCGGCAATGGAGGCGGTGGGACTGGTAGCGGTGGGACTGGCGCTCGGCGTGTCAATTCTGGGGGTGGCCAGCGTCAGCAGCAGCAGCGTCGGAGCAAGACCCCGTCTCCCCAACAGCTTCGTGAGTGGTTTCTGCGTGGGGCGTCTGGGGGTAGTTACCCGTATGTCATTCGCACGGGTGACCGTGCTGGTCAGACTTGCGGGCGACTTCACACTCAGCACCGCTGCTTCTCCCGCCTCGACGACGCTTGGCGTGCTGAGTTTGGTGACGACGTTGAGCTCCCTCGCTGGGCAGATCGGCTTAAGTCTAGGATTGCTATTTTTGACCTAGACTTTTATGCTATTCTTTCTGCTATGTATGCTTTGTCTGTAAGTGCTGAGGGTGACTGTTACCGGTGTGTGCCGCCTGACCCAGGTATAGCTGCTGCTCCTCTAGGTGCTAGTGAGTCTGGTACTCTCCCTGGTACTGCGCCTTCTGAGGCCTTGCACACTTTCACGTTGGACTCCGGCGCCTCTGCTTGTTTCTTTCGTGACAGCACCACCCTCACTCCTCTTCCTGCACCTGTCCCGGTCCGACTGGCTGACCTCTCCGGGGGACCGGTCGTGACCACTGTCCTCCCGTGTCTGGCGGTTCCGTCCGGCTCACTCTCAGGTCTTCACCTCCCCTTGTTCTCTACGAACTTGGTGAGTACCGCTGCCCTCCAGGATGCGATGGTCACTACCACCACTCATGGGGGTCAGCGTGTGTCGATCTGCACGTGCACACGGACGGGGCGTCACCTGGCTACGTTCAATCGTTGGCTAGGGTCGAGTTTGTACACACTCACTACCGAGCCTTCTCAGGTAGCTGCGTCTGCTCAGGTGTCCGCGTCAGGTCAGGTAGCCACCTCTTGCTCGTGTTGCCTCCTGTCGCACCAGACTCTTCTCTGGCAACACCATCTGGGTCACCCCTCTGTGCCTCGCCTTCGTGGCATGCACTCTCATCTTCTTGTCTCTGGCCTCCCCAGGTCCCTGCCTCCCTTGCCGCCCTCGCCTGCCCCGCCCTACCTCCCTTGCGTCGAGGGGCGGCAGCGCGCTGCTCCTCACTCCTCCTCGTTTCCCCCGATGACTGCTCCCCTGCAGACTCTCCACATGGACGTGTGGGGCCCAGCCCGCGTCACTGGACAGAGCCGCGAGCGCTAATTTCTGCTGGTAGTTGACGACTACACGCGGTACACCACGGTCTTCCCCTTGCGCAGCAAGGGTCAGGTCGTTGATGTCTTGATCCCTTGGATCCGCACAGTCCATCTCCAGCTCCGCGAGCGGTTCGGCCAGGACCTTCCTGTCCTGCGTCTGCACTCTGACAGAGGTGGTGAGTTCTCCTCCACCCTCTTGCGGGACTTTTGTCGTGGGGAGGGCATTCTCCAGTCGTTCACGCTTCCGGACTCCCCTCAGCAAAATGGGATTGCTGAGCGCCGAATTGGCTTAGTCATGGAGGTCGCTCGTACCTCCATGATCCATGCAGCTGCTCCCCACTTTCTGTGGCCGTTTGCAGTCCGGTACGCTGCGCATCAGCTCAACCTCTGGCCCTGTGTCTCCTTTCCGGAGACCTCGCCCACACAACGTTGGACGGGGGAGGTTGGCAATGCGTCGGTGTTCCGGGTCTGGGGATCTCATGCCTTTATTCGCGATACGTCAGCGGACAAGCTCTCCCCCCATGCTATCCCCTGCGTCTTGGCTTTGTCCCCGACGCGCCTGGCTGGCAGTTTTACCACCCCACCTCGCGCCGAGTCTTCCCTTCTCAGGACGTCACTTTTGACGAGTCGGTTCCCTTTTACCGCCTCTTCCCCTACCGCTCCGCCCCACCCCTGCCCCCGCCGCAATTCCTTGCTCCAGGTCCTTCTCCGGTAGACCCCCTCCCGCCCCAGGGTCCTGCTCCCTCACGTGTGTCTCAGGTAGACCCTCTCCCTTGTCCTGCGCCTCTTCAGGTAGCTGTCGACTCAGGTGCTGCTCGAGGTACTGCGTCTGGGGGTGCGGAGCCTGGGGGTGCGGAGTCTGAGGGTGCTGAGACTGGGGGTGCTGAGCCTGGGGGTGCTGAGACTGGGGGTGCTGAGCCTGGGGGTGT